TTCAAGCGCTCTATCGTCCTATGACCAATTTTACACACATTATATAGAACCTTTCTCTGTCTTAACGAAGCCGAGCTTTCCACCGGCGTATCCAATATCGGGGAATATCGATGACAGAAGATCGTGGAAATAGCCTTAATTTAATCGAACGGGAATAATAGGAGCGCATTGGGCGGTTGTTCGAACGAGACGATCGAGAGAAACCAAGCGATCGCGTGGCGTGGGCCGTCGTTTCTGCTCCCGGCGCAGATCTTCCAGATTCAATGGCGAAAGATCGCCGGATAGCCACAACAAAGACCTACATACATGTACACCTATTGGTGGTTTACACGAGGAACCTAGAACCTGGCTATGACTATCGTAGTCCCGAGTCGAAACCCACAGCCTTCAATCATTGTCAATCAGTTCGGACGAGGCACCGTTACGGTGTCTTCGATGCACTCGTCCCGTGCTATCTGGCTACACCTACCTACTGCTATTCTTCGCCGACATTCCAGCCTTTACCTTACAGTCCCGTTTTCCACCAGCTTCGTCAATCTGTGCACACCCTTCGACTACGTGGACGCAGGTCCATCTTGGTCCTGGCTACCTAGCACAACCTCTCGATCAAATTGACTAGACTGGACGTCCTGAATTTAAGAAGCGAACGTTGGATCTACTCTTTGTTTGGAGATGATTGGATCTGAGAGGTCTCGTCGAACATTAAGCTAACGAAAACGCTCGATCAACTTCTAAAGAATGAAAAAGTGCGCCCCAAAAGACCTAAAGACACTCAAAATCTGTCGTTGTGGCGAGATCAAGAACCGTATCGACTGGTCTATCGACATGTCATCGAGGTTAGCGCGAGACAGTTATCGCGTTAAAACTGGCAAGCTGGTTAGCAAGACATTCTGCTCGAGAGAATGGAACTGGAATCGTATTTCATCGCTAACTCGAGACGCGATTTCACATGCAACGAGAACGTAACCGAAGAAACAATACCGAAGGTGAACAGAAAGAGAATCGAGAACGAGTGGATGATTGAAACGGACCGACCCACCACTGACCCCCGTCGTTTCTTTCGCGATCGTAGTCTCCCAAGTACGCTAATAAATAAGTATTATTACGATAACGATACAATAATAATAATGATAACAATGATAAGGATGATAACAATAATGATAAGAATGATAAGAATGATGAGAATGATGAGAATGATAACAATGATAATGATAATGATAATAATAATAATAATAACTCTCAACTATGAAGATTTACTTATGCGAAATAAATGTCGCGGGGTTCTCTCGGCCCCGTACACCTGTGCGACCGTTCGCCAGTCCGCGTTTATCTGCAGGGCTCGACCCACCCACGCGAATTCCTGCCCTTCGAATATCGAGCCAAGCACTATGCACGTTTCTAGCTCTCTCTCTCTTTCTCCCCCTCACTCTCTCTCTCTCTCTCTCTCTGCTGCTGCTGCTGCAGCGTCGTCACAGCTTCACTGGTGATTCCTCGGTGAAACGTTCTTCCAGCAGAAACAACCGTTACGATAGCTCCAAAATTGGACGTGGGATTTCGAAGTGAAGCATGTGAATTGTTTTTTGTCTCAAAGAAATATTAAGTTATGGAAATATTTCGAGGTCGTCGTATAAATTCTCGAATTTTACTACCTGAATACGTGATTAGGGTTCAACTTCTTAAAAAAAAAAGACTACCTCTCTAAGCTTATTTATTGCAAACAGACGATATAAATAATGGCAAATTCCAACGTAGATGTTAAAAGATATTTGTAACATCCATATCTTCCTGTTCACTTTGATTGACGAAGTTGGACAACACGATTTCAAGAAGTATCTCTACTACTACATCCTCCATCCAATCGTCAATTAAGTTTACCCAAGGTATCGAAGGAAGTGCCACGAGTAGCAACCAACAACCTATAAATCCATAAATCCTTTTTCTCCGCTCCAATTTCCCAAAACGAAAATCTCTGGGCCAGTTAAGAGCCTGAAAAGCCGCGAAATGATATTTACGAGCGTGTTCTCCGGTTGAACGTGAAGGGCGAGTCCAGAGCCGTTCTTATTCCGGGCGTCCCTTTTCCGTATACGGTTCGAAATGGTCGTTACTTGGCAAGAAATTATTGCTATTACGGACGAAGCACACGCGCGTAACCTTGTTATCGGCTTGGTTGATACGGCGATTACGGATGCGTCGCGTGGTGGCGAGGCACCGTGTACCTACGTACACCAGCTCGTACACGGAAAATCACTAGTCACACTCGCGTAAGAGAGAAAAAGAGAAAGAAGCAGCGTCTAGGCTAGTTTAATTGGATACAAGCTCGAGTGTAACGAGCTCTATCGAATTACTTGTCCGGTAGGTAATTCACTCGGCGCAACATTCGACAACCTTTCGCTCCGCGAAGCCGGTCGTCGTTTAACGACGGATAATTCCTGTTTCGTCCCTTATACATCGTGCAGGATGTTTATTGATCGAAAAGACGCTGGCAAATTGCGCTGATGTACCGCCTCTCGGACGCTTTCGTCGCTCGCGAGCTACCTATTCCAGTTTTTCCAAGGGACTGCTCCATGTTGCATCGAACTTTCTACCAGGATAATTCTTCTAGGGTGAGTAATTACATCGTACGACAGTGGGGGGGATTTATTAAGTTCCTGCGGGTAGTTGTTAAGGTAAGTCAAGTTAGCGAACAGTCATACTCGTTCTAGCAAATTCATTCTTTACGGTCTAAGACTACATTCGAGATTTCAATGTAGTTGGTTTTTATACGTTAAATTCGAACGTCTACGGTCGTTCAGTTAATTAGCAAAATTCTACGATTCTTGAACCCTGATTGTTCCTCGATCGAAGAGCTTTAAAAGGCAATCTACTAATCGCAACGAAGACAACGACGCGACCGAAATGGCTAGCTAGAAGACAAGTCCCGAATCGTGACGGAAGAGTCGACTGGTCTGCGGACAAATTTCCAGATCGACAGTACCGGATGTGATTGCGCGCGGACAAAGGCCACAGCTCGCCTATATTAGGTAGAACGCGTCGGTTAGCTTCTCTGCCTACCTACTTTCAGAAATTCTGCGCTAACGAGCGAGCAGAGCTCCGCTCGCGTCGCTCCGCTTTCCACCGTGGACATCGCTGCCCCATATCTGCCAAATTGTCGTGAGCCAGCGCGTCGTTTTCTTTATTGGTCTTCTCCTTAGAATTTATCGAGCACCGCTCGCCGTGCCTTCCATTGTGTAGAAATTTCCCTCGTACTCGCTTCACGTCGTAATAAGAGTTAGTTTTCGGAAATTCCTCGTTGAGGCTTCAGGGTAGAACGATGGACTCGTAGCTGTAATCTTATCAGCTTCTTACTATTGGGTCGAGATATTCTCTTCGATAATTGACAGTTCGTTTCAAACACATTCAACCTATCTTTACTCGCGACAAGCTTGGTCTGCGAACAGAGTCGACGTTACTTTCTTCCAACTTCTCTAAATTTATTTGAAGCTTGATTCCGCAATCATTCCGAACACGAACACTGTCTCGTTCGACTCTTAATAAACTATAACGTTGAAACGTTAAAGTACATTTTTCGATAAAACACAACAGCTTCGATTTTGATGACACCGCGAGACTGTGCGGAAACCTCGGATCTCCGATTACAAACTCGTATATCACTAACATTCTATATCATCATACCTTTAAACACAACTCAACTCCACTATCAGAAATTAATTTCTCCGATCAAACACAATTCAGGTCGGCCGAATCAATCAGTCAACGTTCTCAGCGCCAATTACCCACCTTCCAAACGTTATTCATCAAACCCATCTTCCCCTCGAACTATCTCGAATCGGAGCGTTCCTCCGCCGAGTAGGAGCGGTTTGGTGTCACGAGATTAGGTTATTTCGCCACGTGCTCGACCGTTACCCCAAGCCGAGAACTGTCCCTATTTCACTGCGAGTTTTAATTAACGTTTACGAACCGTACAGCGGGAGATTTCGAGATCGGTGGTTAGGCGGAGGCTTTTACGAACGCCCTCTCGAGACACTTTGTGCGACTGGCGTGGCTCTCCGCGTAAATAAATTAACCTCGGTGAAGGCACGTGCTTCGACGCGCTGACAACCCTCGTAGCTCGAGATTCGAGACAGGCCGGTTACCCGCAACTACAAGTGTTATTAGCGGCGATCGACCGGCAAGGGTTGCCTTTCTTCTCGACGACCACTCCTCGCTCGACAATTCTTGCCGGTTTAATTGAATTTCTAAGCGTTAACGCTGAACTGTCTCTTAGAATGTCTCGCGTACCTAGTCTTGAGTACCTTTGCGAAGACGTTACTCGGTTAATCTGCCGTTATATCACATTCACGCCAGCCGCGTTGTGACATTGGAGACAAACTTCGGAAGGTTAAGTAACTACCTACGTACCAGTTCAAAGGAAAAGTCGCGGTTTTTCTGAAAAGTTTAATTTTAAATTTAATTTTGGTAGATTCTAAGTCATTTTCGATCCTATCGTTTTCCGTTTAATTTCTGGCCTCAATTTTTTGTTGAAATTATAAATATTAAAAGTGTAAAATGTTAAGCATTTTTTTCTTTGTTCAAACGGTACCGAGATTACGATAAGAAAAAATTCGTAGATCGTAGGCTGAGGCAAAGGACACCGATCGGAAACTCTGCTATCTTCGCGTGTTCTCCAGCTATCAAAGAAACAACCGCCGAACAAAAAGATGAATTTCTCGATGCGCGCTTTCATCGCCGATTAAATCGGTCACCGGTTATATAAATAGAAGGCCGTGTCATCCGGACGATAAGTCGGATTTCGCAATTGGTCGCGAAGTGGATCCGGTCGCGACCATACTTGGACATAGCCATCTATGAGACTGATTACTTTAATCGCTTCGAGGAACAATCCGTCCGTTGAGCCGCATTCCCGCCGCTCTTTCACCTTTCCTGCCTCGCGGACGATCCAGTTTCACGGACGAACCTCGTACATTCGCGAGCGACTACGCGAAAAGAGGAAATAAACTCACCGTTTCGGAGGCGACAGACTTCACTTCCGCCAGAAGGGACGCGGCTGGTGACAGATAAGTCCTGAGGAAGTTCTCCAAGTTGCCGTGATAAGCGCACACCAGGATGTCCCGGGCCTGTCTTATCAGCAGATTGATAACGCCATCGCCGTAAATCGGTCCGAGCAAGTTCCGGACCAGCGATGCGACATCTCCGCGACCCTGCAACAAAGCGGTCCTTTCACGAGCCTGTTTCCCGGAGAAACGTTACATATTACCGTGAAGTGACGTGACTTGTTCGTATCTGGACAGGAATGAATTTCAAGGGTTGGGACGTGATAGAATGGCGACAGGTGGTGGAACGTGATGTAATGCGATGTGACGAGCAAGTCATTCGGAATTCAAATCGATCCATCGTGTACTTTATTAATTTTAGTGTCACAGATACACGCGTGATCAGAATTTAAGTTCAGAAATTTGGCACGGAGAACAAGTTCGGTAGCGAATAACTGTTCCTTGTTCGCGGGATTCTTTCGGATGGAGGCCTAATCCAGGAACACGAAATTAATTTTAGAAAACAATTGATAATTGAATATACAATCCCCATTATCGCTAATGAACGGTATAATGGCTGGTAAAGGTCGAGATAGTTGCATTGTTAATATTCAGCACTTATCACGGACGCAGCAGCACAATGCGCGCGTTCTTATCTCCTTATTGTAGCCCCGTGATAAATGGACGAATACCAGATCATTATTATTATACCTGGTAGTAAGCTGGGGCAAACCAGATTAATTCCAACAGATAGTCGATAATTAACTACATTGTTGCCACTACATGTACGTCGATATACAATGAAACAGTGTCTGATTAAATCTCCTATGAAATCGGCCCAGTTATTCCTGCATAATATCATAACGATATCATAATATAATAATAGCGCAAAATAGGGTAAGGATATTACTACTGGCCATTACCTTACTATATTCGTAATGTAGAGATTTCACGTAATATATGGCGGCGTACATTCCTGAGTTGCATAACACCTTCGGGTTTCCGCGTTCCCAGAAGCTTTTAACGCGCTAAGCCATGGTTCCGGAAACGGGAAGCGGTCGAAGAAGCCGAGGGGACAAGCGAACTAACGGTTCCAAGTTCTCTTCCATATTGTTATGGAATCATGGCCTACGCCAGGAGAATCTGTTATCGACACCGATCTCCCCCAACGGTGAGAACAAACAAGGGGGAATAAATTGAATTTTATGGCAGCACCCGTCCGCCACTTCCAATGAACTCTTGGAACTTGCTTTTGGGGAGGTATGTGCGTCAATTCGAGGAGCATCGCTGGACTCCGTTTCTTTCGCCTGTCTTTTGTGCTTTCGAGAGATGTACGCGAAGTGTATTGAAACGAGGGTGCTAATTTATCGAGGAACTTTTCGCTTTAATTCAAGCTGACTATGTACTTTTGATTATAGTCGCTCAGAAAGTGGTGAAATTTTACAGTCTCAAGAGTTGAATTCTAGCACATTACGAACTAAACATTTTACGTACTAAACGAACCTAATTGTCAGCTACTCTTTCGTGTCAAATATTACACGTTAAATAAATCACTGTCAACCCCTCTTACCTCGTCGTTTATTTTAAGCATAAAATCTTGATCAAATTTCTTGACTGATATCTCCACGAAACACAGGATACTTCGTCAACAGCCTCTGACGATAAAATACAAATACACGAGATCTCTTCGTTCACCTATAACGTGTCAACGATTCAAACTCCATGAGAAACTAAAAGAAAAAAAGTCCATCTTCGTGAAAACCAACGAAAGAGAACGATTCTCCTTAGTATTTACACAAATCACCGGCAGACGTAAACGCGTTTATCCAAGATCCCTTCCTCCAATCCGCGTGGTCCTTCGCCTTCATCGATGCGAATCGAGGCGATCCAGTTCGTCTTTTTCGAGGAACGCAAAGTTGGTCGGCCTCTCGAGACCGTAAACCAGATACTTTCCAGCAAAATCGGCTGGTTGTTCGCAGAACGACGACGCAGCGGGGATCGGGACCCGGTGCTATCCGCTTACGAATCGCTCGGCCGGCGGGCGTCGGATGGCGAAGCGGACAAGTGGCATGCGTCGCCCCAACGGCGATGTGGCTGCATTATATCGGCGTGCATCGTTACACCGGACTGCATAAACATCGCAGTTTAGCGGCCACTCGAGAAACCGGGGAACACCGCGATGTAACCATTATACGCGTACTCGATCGCCCACGTGTGTCCGCCCTCATCCGCCTGGTCTCCGTGCTCGATGAGCGAAAATGCTACGAGACTTGCGCGAGGTACGTGTGGAATGCGTCCGGTTGAGAGTTTAATAGGATACTTTTTGTTTGTCATTATATTTCAGCTTGAGATTTTCAGAAGATTTAGTAGACGTCACAATTTTACAAGGTAGCATATCACAAATTTGCAAATGGATAGAGTTGAACTTACAACTATTAAGGAAACGTTACTTATCTTCATTGCTGTTACTCCCTTTGCATTTTTTGTGCCTTTTTTCGTTCCTAGAATTTCTTTTCACACGCTCCTGCGCTTATCGTCTCAACTTTGCTTTTCTAAAGAAATAGCGTTACATCAAAAAATTGCAGATAAGGTAGTCGAGTATAAATACGGCATCGGATTTTACAAGCTCGAATAAAGTAATAGCGATATATTCTCGTCGATTTCACAAACAAAACCATAAACTAGATAGAACAAATACATTCCTTTCTCTGCAAACAGCGATCTAACAAGATCAAACAGTTTAAGAAAAGAATCTAAATCACCCTCGACAATCGCTATTCGCTCGCTTGGATCGCCGCTCCAGTGACAGCCACTTCAATTTGTAATGTCCCGATTACATGGTTCGAGCAACTGTTGCCGATCTCATAAACGAGTAGTATAAATCAGCTATTGTCTTGTTGGATCGATAATGCCGAGTATCGACAATTTTCGTGGTGGAACGGGAATCCGACCCTCAGGATACGACGATATTCGAATAATAGGGCCATTTCAGGATTCGTCAATACCAATATTTGGTCAGTCGAAATTTATGGGAAAAGGGTAAGTCGACGGTGCATAAAAGACTCGTTAGGGGAGGATGGTCTCGTCCCTATGGGGATTCCGGAGAATGGAAAGGGACGTGGAAACCAAGGGTTCGCATAAATTAACCGGGGCTACAGCGCTAGCTGTTTTAACAGACCACCTTATGGAGGCATATTGTTTATTAATGCGTTTGCTCGCACGAACAGTCCGCTCTTGATTCACCGTAATGTATCTACACTTCCCTGTGATAATGTGATTTATGAAATGCTGGATTAAACACGCTTCGATGTTTAGAAGCACGTGGTGGGTTTTGAAGGCAGATGTATTATTAATAAAGCGATTTAAATATTCTAATGAGAGTTAGGTGGGAAGTTCGTTGAGAATTTACATACGAGTTTCGAAGATACTACATTTAATGATCTTATTGATAGACTGCAGCTATACTTACTAATAACACGATAAGATTGACAAATCTAGTACAAACGTTCAACAAGGATCGCTATCATAAACAGCTTGAACAAATGAAAATATTTTTTCCAGAAATTCTAAAATTTCTCCCATTTAAAAACTTCCTCATCCTCTAATTTCAACCAAACCTAAATTGTAGATACACAATACTTCCAAACGAGAGCTCGCTACCAAAACAATGCCGAATTAAACAACCTTCAAGCAAACATTCGATAAAGCCCGACAATTTAACCTGGCATAACGAAATCAAAGATACTTCAAACGAATTTCAGTGGCCGTTTCCCTTACCAACTCGCCCCACCAAACATCAATCGGATCAACTACTACAAGAGCCTTCGATCGAATTCACTCAAATCCCCGCAGCGAATGCATTCATTAAGCTTCGTTGCAACGAAAAGAAAAAGAGAGAGAGAGAGGGAGAGTCATCGGAGGGTGAGAAGGGTAGAAAAAAGTATAACGCAAGAGAGAAAAATAGAGAAAGAGAGAGAGAGAGAGTCGAAATTGTCGGCGGTACAAAGCGGAGTGCCGGCATAGAAAGAACGCGAGGAGAATTGGGACGTCAGCATGCCAGCAACCCTGCCTTTTTCATGCGCCCGTCTCGCTGACAGCAAAGCTGGAACGATCGCGGAATTGAAATTGACCGAGAACGCCACGGGGTGGGCCTTGATTAGCCCCTTTGTTTAACCGGTCGCTTTGTTTAATCGCGTCCCGTTATAAGCGCCGCGAGTTCCTTTCACGCCCACCAATTTGCATTTCGTACGTACTCGCGAATTTCATGTTGCAGCACGATCTGAGTTTTTCTGTATGATTGGGATTTTGTCGGAGATGGAGTCTCCCTCACTTGTGAGAAAGTGGAAGCAAAGGGTGAACGTTGCGCGAGAGGGAATGATAATGGAGGGATAATGAATTTTTGAATTTTTGAAAATTTGAATCTTTGAAAATTTGAATTTTTGAAAATTTGAATTTTTGAATTTTTGAAATTTAGAAATTTGAATTTTTGAAAATTTGAGTACTCTAAGTATCAAAGCACTACAGTACTCGAAGTACCACAAGTGCTCCAAGTACTCCAAGTTGAAGTTGAAGTTGAAGTTGAAGCTGAAGCTGAAGCTGAAGTTGAAGTTGAAGTTGAAGTTGAAGTTGAAGTAATGAAGTACTGAAGCGCTGAAGTGCTGAAGTGCTGAGGTACTGAAGTGCCGAAGTACTTTCGCCCGGTTGCTTCAGAAATTTGAATTTTTGAAAATTTGAGTACTCTAAGTATCAAAGCACTACAGTACTCGAAGTACCACAAGTGCTCCAAGTACTCCAAGTTGAAGTTGAAGTTGAAGTTGAAGCTGAAGCTGAAGCTGAAGTTGAAGTTGAAGTTGAAGTTGAAGTTGAAGTTGAAGTAATGAAGTACTGAAGCGCTGAAGTGCTGAAGTGCTGAGGTACTGAAGTGCCGAAGTACTTTCGCCCGGTTGCTTCAGGGTATTTGCATATTTGTTTATTTCGAACAAGTTAAGTTACTGACAAAGTTTGTATTGTAAGACGACAAAATTGACGTTTGCTCGTACGATAGGAAGGCTGGGACTTTAATTCAATGATATTCGTAAGTTTCTCAGCGAATAATTCAAATTGACGGAAGCTAATACCTGTCATCCTCGATCACTATACGGTTTATCATGAACGTACGCGATTCGAGT